GATATTTCACTCAGCATAATGTTTTCCAGAGTCAACCATTTTGAATAATATTGCATGAGTTCCTGGTTTTTCAATGCAGCATAGTATTCCATTGTGCGAATATACCACAGCTTCTCTAGCCATTCGTTTGTTGATGGGACTTTCCTGCTTTTCTAAACATCTATGCAGTGAGCTTTTATTAGTTTTATACTTGGGCCAAAATTAAAAAATACGGTTTTATGAAATTCTGACAACCCTGACATATTTTGTTAAACCTCTATTAAATAATTACAGAAATTTTTAAAATTAATTTGAAACCTTGAAGTGTTAAAGGTATTGTTATAAGTTTTTAGGGACTTGTTGGTAGTTAGTTAAAGTAGTGGTTTGCTGTTTCAATGAATTTAATTAGGTAAGATTAGTTTATGTGTAGGGAGTCCTGGTGGCGTAAAGGTTAAGTTGTTGCACTGCAACCCAAAGGCAGGCAGTTTAAATCCACCAGCTGCTTCAAAGGAGAGAGAGATAGGCAGTCTTCTCCTGTGAGATTTACAGCCTCTGAAAAGCCACTGGAGAGTCTGTAATGAGTCTGTTCTAACTCGAAGGCAGTGAGCGGATAGTGTGTGTTTAGTGAGCTCTGGTGGCCTAGTCCACAGGGGGATGCACTCCTCACCCAAAGGCTTTGTCTCTCCCATGGTTCAAACCCACCAGCAGCTCCATGAGAGAAAGATGAACATTCCCCTCCCCTGTTGATTTCCAGCCTGTGAAAAGCCCCTGGAGGGCCAGCTGAGTCCACGCAGACCCCATCGCAGTGACTGAGGAGGCGTTTTGTGACCTGTTAGGTGTACTTAGAGTTATTTGGAAAGAATTTCTAACTGAAACCAGCACTGTACTTTAACCTTGGTGCCACCATGGCTTCCAGTTCTTAGCCATCTGCAATGTGGGAGGCGAACTTGACCGCAAGCCAATTAGACCAATGATGCCAGGCGCCAGAGCGTTCCGTTTGGGAGTGTATTTATGTTATCCTTTCTCTTCTAGTTCTGGACGCTATGTGGAAATGCCCTCACTGCAAAGCGAGGGATATTTGGCAAAACGGGGGATCTGCAGACCATCCTTTGCCTTGCATGTGCCAAAGGAGACATCACCTACTCTGGTGCTTTAAACGGCGACATCTACGTGTGGAAAGGGCTCACATTAGTCCGCACCATTCAAGGCGCTCACAGCGTGAGTATTACGACGGGCCCATTTGCGGGAGACACGGATTACATTTCTAAGGTCACGAGTTAAATTGCTTTGTTCTCTTACCCATCGCTTTAGAATCAGATAACTCTGCTGTAAACTCTTTAGCAAGAAGCTCTGGCTTATAATTTGTGTTCAACTGAAAGGAGTAATTTCCAAATTCTATTAACTTGTTTAGAGTGGCATCCACTTCCTAAACAACAAGCCCCCGGAAACTCTGTGAACTTTGATAAATGTCAGTAGTTGTAGAGGGGCTTCAGGCCTTTTGTTCATGGGATTGCTATGAGTCATGCTCGACTTAAGGCAATCAGCAACAACAACTACTACTAGTATTTGTAGAGTTTTCAAAGTTGGCTTGGAGAAGGTGCAGGGACGTGCTCTTTGGAGGCAAGGATGATGAGGCTTTCATTCACATACCTCAGGCGTGTTGCTAGGAGAGGGACCTGATGATTAGAAGGGTGGAGGGCTGGTGAAGGAGGGGAAGACCAGGTGGACTGACACGGTGACTGCAGCAACAGCCTCTTGTTTGTCAGGAAGAGTGAAGATGGCACAGTTTAGAACAGCGTTCACATCCACTGTTCACAGTGTCACTGTGAGTAGTATTCCACATGACAGCAACTAACAACAACGACAACAACCACCAGTCTGTACCTCAGTGTTCGCTCTCAGCAATAGCTTGAAAGAAGACAACAGAAGTATGTCCTCAATTACATCTACTAGATGTTTGCTTTTTAAGCTTAATGTGCCTGCCACTCTCCTGGGGATCTTGTTAAAAGACAGACCCTGACTGCGTAGGTCTGGCGGGATGTGGCTGCCGCAGGTCTGTGGACCACACTTGGAGGACCGGACCGAGTGTGTTAATCGCTCATCCCAAGCTGGTCAGTCAGAGCCCACTCCTGGCCAACCCCTCACCTTGTTCTCGGAGGCTGTAAATGGCGCAGGAGGAGATTGCCTCTCCTTCTGTCCCAGAGCCGCTGGTGGGCAGCTAGTATTTTTCAGTCTTTGGCAAACTGGGCTTCCCTTCCACTGGACTTTGAGTTCTTACAATGGAAGCAGAAATCATTGCCTTTCTGCATCTTAGGAACAAGGATAAACTTCTTACCTCTCTGTCTTACGATATATGTGACAATGTTACATTGTTACATCTATAGATGATAAATTGGAAATGTTCAAAGGAGGATGGAGAGATGATAGGATGCTTTACAGCTGTTATAGTAAATGACATTTTGCTAAAATGTTACCAAGTTGATTGCCTATTGCTGTTCATTTGAAGTAAAATTTAACTCTTTGTGAAAGAGCTATTCAGCTGTAGATTTTCTTGTATGTGGAAGACTAGTTTTCTTGGTGTCACTGACTAGAACTCAGCTCTTAAAACAAGACATTAGTGTTTGTCCTCATTCCTAAAAACAGCTAGCTGCCTTAGTAAGCTCATTTCTCTTTACACTTGACCGTATGTCAGCATATTCTACTCTTAGAGCCCCTTTGAACAGCAAAAGCTATTTTATTGTCAAAGAGCACCTTTAAGTTATGAAACTGATGCAGATCTGAAGAGGCTTCTTCAACTGCTAAAAAAGCTGACATGGGTGAAATTTACATTTTTTGTTAGGTCCATATGATGCCCTCTTACGCCCGTGGAGGTGTGTCTCGAGCACCTCTGTACCAGTGGAAGTGGTTCCTAGTCCATTTGTCTTGATTATTTGAGGCAGCAAATTTTATGAGGCACCTCTGTTATTTCCTTATTTTTCATTCTAAAGGTCGGTTATCACGTTGAGAAGATGTATGCGTTCATCTATCCCTTAGGGAGTTCTGGTGGCTGAGTGTTAAGGAGTTGCACTGCCAACTCAAAGTCACATGGTTCAAATCCACCGGCTGTTCCATGGGAGGAAAATGGGCAGTGTCTTCCTGTGTGACTTACAGCCTCTGAAAACCTACCCCTGGAGTGTTAAGTACCCAGCAACATGTGCTTAAAACATTCCTAAATGATTTTTTAAAAGGCAGTTTGTCATCGGTTTGTAAAGGAGCAATTGAGCTCATTTGTTTTGGGGATTTGTTTTGTTACTTCTTAATTTGGTATGAAGGGTATTTTAACTGCTTGGTTTGTTTCCAGAATTGCAATAGATCATAAAGGTTCGGTTTTACCTCCTTTTTTTGATCCTTAGGATTCGACTACGATGTGCACTTCCAGTGTTTACAACATTGAATACTGTCTGTTTTGAACCAACAGGCTGGGATTTTTAGCATGTACGCCTGTGAAGAAGGTTTTGCTACTGGTGGGCGAGATGGTTGTATACGATTATGGGACACTGATTTCAAACCAATAACTAAAATTGATCTCAGGGAGACAGAACAAGGATATAAAGGTATTGAATATGTACATTAATACTTCTAACTCTAAAAATGTTAAATATAATGCAGAATGCTGTTTTTTTAATTTGTTTCTTTGTCTATAATCCACTTTGCTCCATAAAGGGTTTAAGACACTGTGCATAGAAATATTGAATAAAGGATTAAAAATAAGTGAAAAATAATCAGATGGGGAAAATGAAACAAAAACTTTCCTAAAATAGCTTTAAAGTATTAGTTCCCATAGCTGGTGTTGCAGGGTGCTGTCAGCTAGGAAATAACCCTCCAACAGGTTTTCAGAGGCTGGAAATCTCTCAAGAAAAGATTGCAGTAGTGGATTCGTTCCACCCGCCTTCGGGTTGGCATTGCAACTCTTTACTCCCTAGACTATAGTTGGGGTTAATGGTAGAAGCTCAGTATCTGGAGCGCTGGGTTCAAGTCCATGTTTCACCCGCGGTACCTTTGAGACCTTGAGCAAAGTTCTTTGTGGAGAAGCCCCAGTGCCCCAAGTCCCTCTTCTATAAAGTGAGGATAATATTAAACTCATTAGGATTATGTTGAGATTAAAATTATTTGCCAAGTGCTCGAGTTAAGTCACAGCACCACATCAGCACTCAGTAAATGTTAGGTGTTATTTTAATACATTGAATATGTGTCCCAGAAACTACAAAACTGCTTCTTAGTGCAGCTTTTCCCGTGCTCGTGACGGGCCTGTTGGATGCTGTCAAGTGAACGTGACAGGGCATGTGGTGCCCTGTTGGGGTTTCCTAGCTGTCAGCCTCGTGGAAGCGGGTCCCTGGGTCTTTCTCCCATGATGCTCCTGGGTGGCTTCTTACTGCCAACCTTTCAAGTAACAACCAAGCATTTAACCATTGCACTACCATAAGAGGCCTCTCTTTCATAATAGGCCTGTGGCCATTCAAACAAACAAACAGTTCTTTTTATAACACAAAAAGAACTTGAGGCTCAGAGATCGAAGAGGAAAATGGGACTAGGTCAGGTTGGATACTAGGATAGGTTGGTGTGAATGCTCTTCTGCACTTGGGTAGGCTGTGTGGGCACTTGGTGCAGATGCCCGCAGACCTCACTCCGGGCTCTTCTTATGGCCAGTGCAGGGAGGGCGCTGTTGATACATGGTCACCGTGTCCTTGGGTGAAAATGGACCCATTGCCCAGGTGAGCGAGAATGACCCCAGGTGCTGAAGTGAGAAATTTACTGAGTCTTTCTGGAGGGGATTCTGTGACATGAAGCCTAAAGTGACCTGAAGTGAGCTCATTGGTTGTTTCTCATGAAGCCCCTGGGAACAGTGAGTCCAAACAATTTGTCCACCACCAAGTCATGTGGCCATGCTGGGAGTTCTCTGTTAGCCCAAGGAGTTCTCAGAGGATTGAGAAAACAACACATGGACTCTCCCTCCTAAGGGGTATTTTCAACCATTAAAATAAAACCAATCAAATAGCTTTTTTTTCCCCAAAATTTATTTTATTTCATTATTTTTTGTGTGTACCGTCAAATCAGATCTGACTGGTACAGGAGGAGATTGTTTCTCCTTCTCCAGCAGAGCATCTGGTGGATTCGAACAGTGCATTTCTGAGATTGCAGTTGCAGCTTCTTGCCAC